CATTATGAGTTGGCACATTTGGTACAGGTCCATTAGTTTGCTGAAATGTTTGACCTGCCGCTGCACTATGAGAATGAGAACGTTGGATTGGTGGTGGTGGAATATTATTATTTTCTTCGTCCTCATTCATCATAAATTTGGCAATAGTACCTGCAAGAGGTGATGGATGTTCAACACTTCTACGTTGCCATATACTCATATGATTAGTACTAGAATGTGATGTCGCACTACTACGAGTAGATGGAGCTGGTGAACCAGGATACGATGGTGGTGGAGAATTCGGATAGTAACCCGTATTTTCCATCTGCATAATTGCATTTGAGGGGAATGTTGCCATGGTTGGAGGTGCAGTTGAAAGTCCATTACGTGCCATAGTTTGAAGTGATGAACTTGATTGTGATCGATGTTGCAAATGTGAATTTGGCATAACGGGTGGTATTGGTGGTGAATTTGGATCCCAAGCATAAGGGGGTGGTGCTACAGAATCATTGGTTTTCGGTCTACCCTTCTCATTATATGAAGAAGGTAATTGACCATAAGGTAATGATTGACTTTTTAGCTTATTACTATAACCAACAACAAAGTCATCCGGTTCGTCTTCATCGTCATCTTCACATTCATCTTCATCGTCAATGAATGAGTCAGTGTCGCCATCTCGGCGAAAGTAAGGAAGGTCAAGGTTCTGTAAGGATGCCAATTGTGTGTTAGATACCCCGGTGCGTTTCGAGGGAGTAGTTGCATTATTATCGAATTGTCCTTTCGTCAAAGTATGTCGATTGTTATTATTTCCTGAATCTGTTAATAATTTTTCTAACGTGGATTTCCATTGTTTAAGTTGTTCCTCATTTCGACATTTGAGAGAGAAAGATTCCATCTCACTATCACCTCGCCAGTATACTTTTAAAGACCACACTAAAATTTTAAACATAAACATTAAAATAATAGTAATAATAAAAGCAGGAAATTATTTTTTATATAAATTCAACAACATACATCCAGACCGACTGTTGTCTACTGCTGCGGTAATATTGTGTATAAATATCCTTCCTTTTAATTGCAAGCTAGCTCTTTTAGATTTTCGATTATTACTTTTAAGAAGTTGTGATTTACTTTGTTGTTTTTTTGCATTTGTTTCTTTACAACAAAGTAGAATCTTCTCAAATAAATATACATGATATTCGCGCTCAGAATCATCTTTAGACATAGTAAATACATCTTCAAGTAAAAGTTCACCAAATTGCTCAATTCGATGACCTTTCCAATCTTCTACACGGCGTTCCAAATCTTTAACAACGGCAGCATTTTCTTGTTGACGTCGAGTTTCATTTACACGATCAGCAACACGTTTGATTGCGTTGAGACCGCATTTAATTTCCTCATAATGTATATCCTCTTTATCAGTAAATTTTATTAATTCCTATATAATCATTCAAATGACATATTAATATAAAATAATAAAACCTTTTTTTTTTTTCTTCTTTTTACTTTAAATACAAATTCTATAAGTACCTGCAATAATAATGGGTATTTACAAATACGTTGAATAGGCTTAATTAATAATGATGGTAGCTCATATGTTGGTTCAACAATATGAGCTAATTTCTATTTGTTTTGTTTTTTAAAAAATTAAAATTAAAATTTAAAATTTGCAAATTTATTAAATACCATTAATCATATTAGAATATTACTTGAAGGTTCGGTAGTTCTTGAATAACCAGGTCTGAAGCAGATTGATAATTTGCGCAGAATGGTTCATAAACTGCAAAATTTTCCTCCTATTTAATTTATTTATGTATTTGTTTAAAATTATTCATATTTAAAATTATTCATACATAATATTATCAGTTATCACAAGTATAAATACTTTGGAAATGTAAATTTTATACGCCCAAATTATTTAAAATTATGATAATTGATAATATTCATACATGTTTAATTATAAAAAAATTATATTATATTAAATAAAATACCATTTGTATAAACAGACTACCAAAACTCTGCTCTTCCGGACTTGCACTAGACGTAGCTTCCACACCTATCAGGAAACGGCGTTGAAAATCAACTAATTGATTGAGGTTAGCGAAGAGTAAATGAATGGTATCTGCGCTAACAATGTATTGATTATGAAGCTCTCTAGCGTAATTCTAAATAAGAAATTTATAAATGTCAAAAAATTTGGAATAAACTTTAAAAAAAATATATATATACACATCAACCTTACGCGGTTAAACAAATAATTCATAATATATATATATATATATATGTATTAAATACCTGTAAAACTTCCATATCCTGAACATATTTTCTTTCAGTTTCTAGTAATTCATGCACTACCCTGGCTCGATTATCAGTGGGTTTCATGGGATCTGATCTTCCCAAATCTTTCTTTCGAGATAAATTAAGAAGACCTTTCTCTTCAATTTTATCAGTTACAAGTTTTACTGTATTAATGACCTAACAATAATACAGATAATATAATACAGATAATGGATAATATAAATAATATAGAATTATAGATATTATATATATTATAAATACTATAGATATTATAGGGATTTAAATTAAAATTAAATACAAGTTTTAAATCTAATACAAATTCTATTGATTTTTTAATTAAAGACAAAATTCAAAATAACACTAGGAACTAGAACAAATATATAGCATCATAATTCAACAGATAGTAGATAGCTTTTCCACGTACCATAACGAAACCATTCGTATCATCTTGATACAATTGTGTGATTGAAAACATTTGTTCTGGTTTTAATTCAAATTCTTCCCGACAAGCAACCAAAAAGTTATATACACTAGCTTTAGACTTATTGGTGTTTCCAGGTTTTGAATCATCAATCTTTAATGGTTTTTGAGGTTTCAAAGCATTAAAAAGCGCACAAAGAGGATAACCTAACCGAAAAGTCTGCCATAGAAGAGTTACAGGATCGTATTTAAGAACTAAACTACTAGGGCCATTTTCTGATGTCGGAGTTCCAACTATTGAGCCGTTACTCGGCACAATGCTTTGTCCTTGCAATAAATACTGTTCAAATCCTTCCACACAATAAAGTCTTCCTAAAAGATCTCGACATAATGGATATAATGATTGTGAAGCTTGAGCTGGTCGATTTAGTGTATTTCCACTCATTGTACTGGGAGCTTCGATTGATGAAATGTTACTTTGCATTGTTCCTGAACTTGGCGTTCTTCTGAGTACTCTACTCATTATTACATATAGTTGTTTTTCTGATCAATTTGTTAAGTTGTTTATAAGGGTAATAGATATGTTTGTTTGACAGCCTGAACCTCGTGGCAAATTGACGACCGTATTTCTTTTTAATGTTACGGTAAAGGGAGTACAAGTGTGTTAGTGTCAGCGTATTAGTAACAACTACTTGACACCGACAAAATATGCTACTTAACAAACCTGTATAGAGAGTGATGAAGGTTGGCGGTGTGGGAGTTGTCTCGCCAGCGAGCGTGTTATTAAAACTTTGTTCGTTTAGATAATAATTCTTTTTTTTTTTTTTTTATACAGTTAAGAAGTTATTACAACAATATCGGAGTTTGTTCTCTTATCAGTTATTTGGCATTAAAAAAATTAAGTCATGTGATTGTATACCCCATCTCTCGTATACTTTTCCGCTGTTTCAGTTTTGTACCCTCTCACACGAAAATCGATAATCAATCATTTTGATACGTAACGCGAATCGACAATGTCTTACGCTAAAGCCTTGACCAAATGACCTATTATGAAATGTGACAATAGTGAAGCGTACGTATAACCTAATTTTAATTGTGTTTAATATGATGAGACTTTTAGTCTATAAAAAATTAGACTAACTATTTTCAGTATTTGATTATTTAATAGTCATGTGACTTTGCTTGGTTAAGGTTCGATTTAACATCCTAATTATCAATATCTAAAGAAACTAATGAGGTAGTAATAGATTACTTGTCATAGGAAACAAAAATAATGTGACAATAATTCTTTGGTACACATTCGATACACAAGGAAACCCAAAAAGAAATTTGTGAAAAAACATGGCGCTAAAAATAGAAAGATTAATAGAGAAATTACTTGTACCGAAATTTATCTTTTAAGGGGTATATCCTGATTGTTAGTTCCTTTCTTCTATCTAGGTTATGGTATGCTATCTATATAATGCCACCAAAACAAAAACAAATTAGGTTTTCGAGTTTATTACCGTATTTGCGCGAAATAAACCCGGGCGTTAGTTATTTAACACCAATATTTGAGCTCGGGGGGAGAATTTAAACAAACATGTTTAACTAAATCTTATTTGTCAACTTTTATCACATGTTTAATTTCGGAGGGGCGGCTGACTGAGAGGGTTAAATAACAATTCAACTCTGAACGGTCTTAATGAAATAGACACGGTCATCGCTCAATGGACCAGAATAAAATCTCGTCCGTGTTTGCACGAATTAACGCCCATGGGCGTTATTTAGGGACCTATAGTTTGAAGAGAACTAATACTAATAATTAATTTAGCCAAAGACTTTTAGTAACAAAAAATCATGATCCGCACTCGGATAACTCTAAACTATTTGTCACTAAATAACTCCTATGGGGGTGTTAATTCGCGTAAAGACAGTATACTACCACGATACACAATCTTAAACAGTCAACCGAATTAAAAGGCTGATTTTAAAGATCATGATGGAAGCAAGGTTAATTTCCGCTGCTATCGAATCCACAGAGAAATCAATGGAAACTGTACGTTAAAGCCTGGGAAAGGTTCAAGCAGCTGGTTCTGGGTGCTTAAAGAAATTCAAATCATTAATAAGAAAACCAATAAATACACCATTAAAAAAGCTACAGGATTTGGAAGAAATTGAATATTTCAAAACATAGTGCCATTAGCTAATCACGAAAGGAGGGCAACGGCACAAATTTATCCTCAACAAAAACATGGGCATATTCTGAAAAGTGTTACACAAAGTCAGGTGTCTGCCCGATGTGCCCGAAATTCAGATCATAGCGATAAAACACTTTCTACCATGATGCGGATAATATGAAAAATGGAACAACCCCAAGCCTGCATACCTGGCGCCATAGAGGAAGTTACACTAGCCTACAACATTGAGGCAGGTTCAAAACGGACTACAGAAACATGGTTACACGCCACTATGGCCTAGTACATTTAAGCAAAATAGGGCATAAAAAACATTCCAGGGACTTACGTACGTACTAATACATATTACGCGCAATCGCATTGACAAGAAACCAAAAACCTGAAAGGATTAAAGTTATAATTCTCAAACATATTAGAAGAAATAATAGCTAATGGAATTAAGAGTAACAGACCAGATAAAAGGTGTAAGGCAAGAAAAAATTTTGACAATCATACAGGGGAAAAACAAAAATGATGCGACATTTGTTTAATATATCGATCTGAAACCTTGCTATTGTTTCACGATCTAATCTCTAATCAATTTACTGGTTACTGATTGGTAATTTTTGGTAAGTGAAAAAAAAAGTGTCATGAAAATATTGTTTCTATTCAAAAAAAAAAAAATTAGATTTAGGCCACACAAATTTAATATCTTGGTTTTCATAACATGAAACTTTTAAACAGAGCCGGCCGGCCGGCTTTTTTTTTAAAAAATTTTTTTCCGGTTATTAAAACAAAAAAATTTTTTTACAAGTTTTCAAATTTTGAAAACCAATTATTAATTTTGCATGGGCCATTTAGAAAAATTTATTTCGACCAATTAAAAGTAATCCAATCATATCATTCTCATATGACTTGATGATTTGTCTCTTTCGAAAAAATGCTTTTGAAAATTTCCATGTTCCTGGCCTTGGTATTGTCTCATGCCAATCATGTCATCATCATGCGATTTTGATTTTTTTCAAAGAAAATGCTTCTGTGTTCCTGGCCTTGGCATTGTTTCATGCATTTTTTGGCCAATCATATCATTTTCATGTGACTTGATGATTTCGATTCTTTTTTCGTATTCCTATTCTCGAGTCACGAATCAACCCGTGACAGTAGTGACTTATTACCCAATATCGACTAAGTTTTATTATTAGTGACAAGCAGCTCTTTATATAGAATTTTGCTAACGCTTAGGAAAAGAAAAATATGCACAAATTAAGCAAATTAAGCAATAATTTTTTAACCATATCTAAGAAAAAGATGCAAAGAGTAGATATAGTAAAAGATAAATTTGACTATATGTCGTATGTCAGAATAGAATTGTTGTAGATTTAGAATCTACTTACATAGGTTGAAACGAAATCCAAATAATTCCAAATGCAACCCAAATTGATACCAAATCTTAACATATCAGCAAAGTATTTTGATATCCCGATATTTACTCTTAGGCTAAGAATGCTAAGAATAACAATATTTGCTATGTTACTGATATTGAACTACCTCTCGATATTTTACCGATATGCCTCTAATATACTGCCGATATGCTACAAATATTTTGGCGGATCTATAGTAGACTATCGGATGCATATCGGGATATTTGTCTCCCGGATACTCATCGATCCGACCTGTGATTTAATCAAAATTTTTATTTTATTTTCTCTTTTTTCTATCCGATGACTGAACCTCAAGATTATCCTTTTTATCTCGTAATGTATTTAATGAATTGCTTTCTAAATACCTTAGCTGCAAATCGGCTAATGGTGACGTATACGTGATCTTGAAATACTAACCTACTTGTGTACTCGATGCGTTGCGTTGCGAATAAGTCTTAAGGCGACTTAAATTCCAAACAATCATATTAGTTGATTTTGATAAGGAAAACCAATTTCACAGGTTAGGGCACGTCATCATATGTAATTACAAATGACTAATGAGATGTGTCACTGGGGAGATTGGATTTCCTTATCAAATCAGCAGATATGTATACTCGATAAGATAATTTAGAATCCACTTAAGTTTGATTTGAATTCTTTAACAACTTGAAATTCTATTACGGCCTATGTTGACCTAAGTAGATTCTAAATCCATAATAATTCCATTCCGACGTACGACATATATATCTAATTAAAATAAAAATAATTACGCAGAATGTGATAATTGTACGACTAATAAAAATAATAATAATAATAAAGAAAATATATTAACAGTTAATAAATTTTATTACGAAAAGCTTCGTAACACTACAAGATCTAATTTCAAGGGCAGGTGAAACTTTAAGCAAGTGTTAACATCAAGCATGATATTAATACTACGGGAAAATAATAATAAAGACAAATATTATTATTGTAACAAATATAATACGAGTAATATATGGTGTCGGGCATGACTATTTAATGATCGACCATACTTAAAAAAATTTTTTATGTTCGGTCACAATCAAACAAATCAAATGATCGATCTTTCCCTAATTGATCATCATCTCTAATAATAATCCTCGTCCTCGCCTTCATTCTCATCATCCTCATCGTAGTCTCCAGTTACTTGATCTGCAAAAAAGTACAAGCTAAGTATGAAATTGTAAATCATATTATCAATAATATATATCGCCATATTACCTGCTTTTGAAGAAGAACCAGAAACATCCATGTCTTTCATTAGTCTTGTCAGTTGCGCTTGTTTCGTGGCATCTTGCCGTTCGGTCTTATAGTGTGCACCAATTAATAAGTGTAATTATGTGGAAATAAATTGATTTTTGATGTGATCCTATAGAGTTTCTATAATACCTTTTTCTGAATCAACTTTTCCAATTCAGGTTTATAAACACTAATCAAAAATAACAATTAGATGAGAACATTAAATGAAATCACGTATATACTGTCACTTACGTTTCATATTCCTTGACTGCTTCGTCTACAGCCTCGAAGAATTCATTCATTCCAGCACCTGTTATGGCTGAGACACCAACAACCTATTAATAATATAGATTAATAACCAGTGTTTAGTATTAATAAAAAAATAAATTGATAATTGTAATAAATATTATTAGAAATAATAATTACTCTCAAATGCTTATAAAACTCTTCTAAAACTAAGCACATAGAATTCATGAGACTGCTCATGTAACTCGAATCTTTTTGCAAAGCCTGTTGAAAGGCCTCAAAATCAGTCATCCATTTCACAGCGAATTCGTGAGAAACGACGTCGGTTTTATTGAACACCAATATGAATGGAAGTTTTGTTTTATATAAAATACTAAACTTGCCATTCAATTATATCAGTTACCCATATCATCAATAATTAAATTTTGCTGAAAATTGAACAATAGTTGAAGAAATGCAGTAATGATACAGATGGTAACAAATAAGACGGTTGTAATTCACCTGCAAGCATATAACATGTTACTCATAAAGGTGGCAGGGCTTGTTGTTCGCGGTGTATCTATAATGTACGCTACTGTGCATGGATATGTTGCCGCCATAGCATCGGTAATTATAGCCCCAGATGCGGACCACGTGAAAATCTCGATTTGGCCAGGCGTGTCTACAATGATATACCTGTAACATTAAATTATGTTATTAGACAAATCCTTGAAGGAATGAATAATCAAATAAACTCTTACTCAAGTGTCGGTGCACGTTTGGAAATGAATTCAAGTACTTGATCAAATTTTGTAGTAAAAAGGTTTAAGCTTGTCAAGATTCCACCATTAGGTCCTAAATTGTATCTAGTGGTAAAAAAAAAAAAAAAATTTATTTCATATCATTTATAAATAAAAAATTAATGGATGTTAAACAGTCTTAGTCTGGTTTAAATTACTTAAATATTAAAATATAAGTCACATTAAAGACCGGACTGAACCAGGCAAGACTATTAATATCTTTACAAGAAAGATCTAATAAATTGATTATTTACTGCTTCATCACTTCTTTGTAATTCACTGTGTCGCGAATATCAATATTAGCGGTGAACGGAAGTTGAGTAACTGCAGGGTCAAGGTTCAATACATATGGTGACTTTTTAACGCCATGAAGATGGGCATTCAAACGCTGCAAGATTTTTCGTTTGTCAGTGTATGTCTTTTTGTGATAAAGTCTAGATCAAATACAATACCTGCATAAAGGTAGTTTTGCCAGAACCGGCCATACCAATGCACAATAGCACGGTGGGTTGTTTTTGCGGTTGGGTAGACGAATCGGTAGACATTTTCTTCCCCGAATTTTTTTTTTCCTCTGCAGAAACTTTTGAACTTACACGTTACACTAGGGTGATCATCAAACTAATTAAATCAAATCATTAATTTTGCGAATGATTGTCATTATTTATCGTTAGCGAACAAATTTTTTTAATACATTTTACAAAGGTACGGTTTTCAAGCTAAAGACATAAAATTTTATATCGAATTTTTTATTAACTTGTAGCTTTTATTTCTCTTTTGTTGGTAATAGCCTCGGTTTTACAAAATTCAATCGGTTCATTGTTTTTAAAGTTGGATAAAGTTTGTTCACTTTTTTGAAGAATTAACTACAGTCAGACCTCTCTATAATCACATCCCAAAATACTACTAAACAAACAAACTAATTCTTTTCTTATTAATCTCTTCAACAATTTTTTATCTTGGTATTGCCAAAAGCTATGATTTATTTGTAATATTTATTAACATTAATAGGAACTCTCTCGAAATATTACTGCCAAAGCTAAACATACAAAATCTTACTTTCTCAACACATTTACTTCTTCAAATAATTCTTCAACAAGAATACAACCTATAGACATTAATCCTTTTATCAATAAATGGCTCTTACAAGAATATGCTTTAACTGCATGCTTTATTTAATACCATGACTATCACCTTAGGTTTTCCTCCAACCTATCCTAGCTAGAAATTAGTTTGAAATAATTAACTATAAATAGGAAATAGGGGTGTAATGTCACATTGGGTGCCTTATGTAACACAAATATAGTTTAGAAATCTTTAGGTTTAGAATTATTTTTCT